ACTTTCATCTAAAAAAGATAACTTTCTCAATGTTTTCTTGAACAGAAAAACAAGATATCAGGAAACGTCGACAAATTGAGTAAATCTTTCTAACCCTTGTTAAGATTTTTTTACCCCTTTGACGAAATTAAACCATTTGGAGGGTTAAGGAGGGACTAAACTCCCTTAACCCTTCTCTTAAACCCTTTACAACTGAGGCCTAAAAGAACCATCCTCCCATAATCAAATGATTAATATTTAGAGACAAACCCCAGTTTGGCATTCTTTGTCTGGCACCTCTTGCAAAGCCAAGTTTTCTTTAGTTCATCCTATTCAGTTTGGCATTCTTTGTCTGGCACCAACAAATATAAGAGTTATACACCCCGTTATACCAAATTATGTATCGAGATAAATGAGAGTTGTTCATAAACAGAATAAATATAAAAATAAGACAATTCTCACATACATTGTAGTGTTCAAGCTCTCACGCCGTCTCTCCTCATAAACATGTGTCCCACCAATCTCCTTCAGCAGATCAAGACGTTCAGAATCTTTCATTAAGGTCAGAGATGCTATCTGCACACCATTAAGACTAGTGTTTAGAAGAGATATATGCAACTTAATAAGAGAAAGAATGAATTGCAAAATCAGCCAGCTAGGAACACGCACACACCTTCCCTTGCTAAACAACATAGTAAGGATTGGACCGAGAGAAACCAGCACTTTCCAGCAAGTTCATAACTTCTGTTTTGCTGCAAAATAATAATAATAATAATAAATATCACAATGCATATTTCAAAAGGGCAGGTGGAAGTAGTATCATAATAGCAGATGTATAAGAAAATCATACGTGACATGCTTCGCATCCAAAAAATATTCATCCTTTTTCAGACCAATTGTCCGACGTAGCCGCACCTCATCCTTATCAACCTGCAACAAGCACAGAACATGTGTACAATTTTTTTAGAAAAACCACGTAATATAAATATATGTGTGTGTATATACACTTTTCTGATGAAATCTGCCCATTGTGTCCGTCATTCCTAAATTATTTCCCTTGAAAGCAGCTATTATCCATGTCTTTCTAGCTTCATGACATTATCCATACCTAACTATTATTTATTGAGATGATTTATCTTGGAGTAGTTAATAGCCGTGTTTGTTTCCACTATTTTTTTATTGTTTCCAATGAGAAAATGACATTCATATTGAATAGGTGTTTGTAAAATCATAATATTACCATAACATGCGTGCAGCAACATTGTAATACTAAGTTTTGTGTATCACACAGATAATAACTAGTACTTACAACACCAAAATACTATGCATATGAATTTCCTACAAAGTATAGATACAACTAAATGCACAAGTTTGAGAATAAGATACAAGAGAACTTACTGGGATACGATTGTCAGAATTGTCGAACACTATCTCCACAAAAGCTGAAACAACTTGATGTCCAGCACCTTCCTGTCAATTGTGAAAATCCAAGTCAACAGAAGACACAAAAAAATAAGTAAGAAAGAGAAAAATAAAAGAAAAAGATGGTTACATGGAGAAGGGCCTGTCTATCTTCATTGTGCTAGTTGTGAAAGAGGTCGCTGAGGACAAAACGTATGGCTAGAAAGGGTTTTAAGCAATGTGGATAATTAACCTCATGAAAATTTAATTACAAAATTACTATAAAGGAAATATTGTTCAAATCTTAGATAAGGAAAAAAGTACCATGAAAAAAGTTTGTCTTCCCAGATCCATTGGCACCAACTGCAGAAACATAAATACATTAGCATAAACTGAACATTCTAAGAACATTTTAGCCTACCACAGAGATACCTGTATGAGTTAAAAAAAAGATACACTTTCAGATGAACCAAATGTCTAACAAATACCATAGCAAAATGCACTTCTATGAAATTAATTGGAAACCATGTGCTAATGGATAAGAGGAATATGTAAATATTTCTTTCAATGTGATCTAAGCCTGATTGAGTTAAAATACTTGGATGACTAGAACCAGATACTTAAAACCTCAAATAAAGATCCATACTTTTAATAACCAAATAAGTGAATCTAAAAAATGAAAACTGACTCACCTAGTGAAAGAGAGGGAGGGAGGGAGAGGAGTAACAGTAATAGAGGATTGCTTGAACTTTAAAATTATAAGTACAGTCATCCATGGGCCTAGGATGAAGGATGGCCAGCGCGCGGACATTAATGGGTTTTTTTTTTACATGTGCAAATGAGAGATAATATGTGTATTATGTAGGGCTACGGTTTAATCCTTTAAACTGAGAAATTGGAGCTGATTTTAAGAAGAAATAACCAATTTTTATTATCTATCAAGATTTTTACTCAGATTCAGAGGATTGAAGAGGAGCAAAACAAATAGAAATCTAATAACAGTACCAACACAATTAACTTTGGGACTAAAGGGATCTGTAGCAACTTGTTCCTTGTAACTCTTAAATCCTTCAATGATAACCTGACAAGAATTGACAATAAGAAAACTCTTAATGAAAATACAATCACGTTACGCACACAAAAGACAAAGAAATTTTAGAGAAAAAAACAAAATTAAGGAAAGAGACAAGAATTTTACCCTCTTTATGTGCATCTTGGAAGATGACTACACCATTAAATACCTAAACAAATAACAAAATTTCAGAAAAACAATTAAAATACCGCAGCATCAAGCTTTTCAATCTCTAATGTAAAGCCTAGCTACATCTCAAAGGAACCAGTCTAACTTAGACAGGGTTTCAGACCATCGTCAGACTAATCGAAACCCTACCAGCTAAGGTGCATGGCCTACACATCGGCACTCTAAAGCTGGTAAGATATAAATCAAGCTTGGAATCAAACAACTTGACGCTACAAGGAGTGAAAAAAGGGGAAAACATCAAAAAGCACTTGAGCTCAAGTTCTCCTTCCGTTATCCAATAGCAAAGATTGAATCTCCTGATTTGGTCAGAAATCATGAGAAGAGATTGGTTGATCCAACCCTACAAAGCTCCCATCAATGAGATTTGGGGCTCAAAAACAAAACGACTGGTAGGGTTTCCAGTCCTCGCATCAACATTCAAAAGCTAAGTAGGAGCACAGTCGAGCTCGGAATCGAACAATTCAATGCCAAAAAAGTGAAGTAAGAGATTAGAAACACAAAAGGCTACCTGAAATCAAATTCTCTCCTCGATCTTCACTAGGAAAGATCTAACCACCTGATTTGATCAGAGATCATGAGAAAAGATGTGTCGAGAAAACCCTAGAAAGCTCCCTACCATTGTGATTCAGTGCTCGCCCTCGCTGGAAAAAGCAATGAGAGTAGCTCGACGACGAAGATAATATCGGAGAGGAGATTGGAGATGAGATCCAAGATGAAACGGCGACGAGTTCAGTGATGAGATCGACGACGCCACGGCGATTTTTGGGAGCGGAAATTTTTGGCTTAGGGATTTCCGTGAGGATTTGAGAGAGAGAGATATATTTCGTTTAAGGGTCTGTTTGTTTGGTCAAAAAAAATGAGAAAACACCCGCCACATCACCTTTCAAGAAATCTCTTATGTGCCACATAGGATTTTGGTTTCAAGGGTTTTCCATTTCTTCAGTTTGTTTCATTTTGTAATTTAAAGAAATGAAACGCCACGTAGGATGCCACATCAGCTTTTTAAGAAATGTGTTTTCACAACAAAAACCTCTGAAAACACTTGGAAATGTCACTTCAATGAATTATTTATTACTAAAAGCACTGTTAGAATAGTAAAGCTGAATAAAACAGATTATTTAAATTGGCTGATTTCTCTTTCCTTTGCTTTTTGTTCAAACAAACACAAGAAATAGAAATGTGGTGCACTGTTACTATTGCGGCTTTTTTTGTCTCTTTGTGTGACTTGGCGGTGAAATGAGGTGATTTCTTTGCGAAACAAACACAAAAAAAGAAATGTGGGAAAACTCTTGAAATGGGTTGAAATCAAATGAAATGTGACATTTCCATTTCCGATTTTTTTCAGAAAACAACCAAACAGCCCCTAAACGGTCAGGGGCATGGGCTTTAAAAACAATTATTAAGCCCAAGAACAATTATGAAGCCCATGAATAATTATTAGACCTATGACAACGTTTTTTATAAATTGTTGTATTAGGCATTACAAACCGTTACGATAGATATCTAACGCAACAGTTAAAACCGTTGCAACTTAACCGCTGTAATAGATCAATTATGTGGTAGTGATGTATTGTGTGGCGATTCGTAAAAATTAGTAGGCGACGTATGTATGGCTAGAACTGATCAGCGTATGAATTAATTACTGGCCGGTCATGATCCTGGCCCGTATGGGATTTGGAACAAGGAGCATGACATCAAATAGACTCTCCGCAGAGGGTCAAAAAGAATTTCAGTTAGGGGTTTAGTTGCAAGAATAGTACCACAAGGATAGTACATTTGATTCGTTGAAAATACAAAGCATTAATTTATAATTATTTCCATCAATTATATAGCGACATAACTCTGTTCTTCTTACCGGCCGCCTCCCGCCTTCTACTTTCAAGCCTGCTGTATTGTGGGGTTGTCTTTGACGCAATTTCTCCAATTATTGATCATCTTTTTAACTATTTTTATTTTATTTTTTAATGTCACTTGGGTATTAACACTAAGTGTTCCTTGTTACATGTTTGCTCCTACCATCACTCTCAAAAAATAATCACAATTTCCTCGGGCGTGCAGTTAATGACGATTACAAATTTAGAATACTACATATACTATTATCCAATCCTAAAAGAAAAGATCCGAATTCTCCTCCTCCCCTCTGAAAGCACCAACCATCTTTTCCCAACGACGGCCACAATCTCTATTCCTAGTCCGAAAATTCCTTTTTTCCTCCCTCTCATTAGCATTTCCCTCTCTTTCTATTTCTCATTTTCTTCTCTTGCCAGCCAACAATGGCCGGCAAAAAGAAAATCTCCTTAATCGCCGGCTCCTTCCTCCTCGTCGCTGCCGCGGTCGCCTGTGTTGTTGCCGTCGTCGTCAGCACCAAATCATCATCCACCACCCCCTCCTCATCCCCTGCTCAACCGAACACCGCCTCCACGTCCGCCTCGGTCAAAGCCATCAAATCGATCTGCCAACCGACCAGCTTCCGCGAGACGTGCGAGGACGCCCTCACCAAGGCCGTAGGCAACAACACGGACATCAAGTCCCTCATCAAAACATCCTTAGATGTCACCATCACCCACATCCGGGACGCCGCCAACAGGTCCTCTGTCCTCCATGCCGCCGCCGAGGACCCCACCACCTATTTGCCCCTCCAGACCTGCATGACCGTCTTCGACTACGCCGTCCAGGACCTCAAGGACGCCGTCGACCACGTCCTGAGCTACCAGCTCAACGATCTCGACAGGGCCGTGTACGACCTCAAGAACTGGCTCAGCAGCGCCAGCACGTACCAAGAGACCTGCGTGGACGAGTTCAACAACCAGACGTCGGA